AACAAAATATTCTTTTATGTAAGAATAACCATAAATATAAAAATTTTATTTCAAATTTTACTATTATCCCTTCCACCTTATTTGAAAAATATTAAATCCTAAAAAACTTAAATCCACTTTACTTTGATCTAATATTAATGCTTACGGTGGTATGACAGTCAATTTTATACTAACACTATAAAAAAAATTAATTATTTGGTTTTCGCTATTTTTAATAACAAAATTTTGAAGTGCATGCTGTAGGTAAAACAACAAACATATTAATCAAGTTAAAAACTCAGTTTCATCATTACAGAAACTTTAGTTAATTAGTTTAATTTAGTTTCTAAGCCTTTTGTCAATAATTTAGTTTAAATTTAGCTTCCCCTCCCTTTTCTTCCCCAATTTAACGTTACGTACATAATAGTAAGTGATTGCGCTCTAATTTGTATTCCAATTATATAAATACCTACGTGTTTTTAATATGCCTCGAATTTTAAGTGGCTTATCAAGTTCAGTTTTCCATATTCCGTGAAACAAAATACGTATCATACAATTATTTACATTTTAATTATCGCCTCATTTTGCCAATCCTACTTAACTAAGGGGTGTTAATTATTCATCATCATGATATCACATAATGGGCGAGGTTTTAAACAATTCATACGTTAAATTAGGACAAATACAATAATTCAGGGTTAAAAACATTATTTATAAATTTATTATCCTTGTCATTAATTCATTAAAAAAATTAAATTTTACTTTAATTGTTTTTAATTCGCGCCTTGATGATTCCGAGCACATTTTTCGTTTATGTTTAAGCTACTGCTTTTGTTATACTTAAGTAGTACAAGAGAGATTATTTTTATTATTTTGACACGGAATCCGAATTCAATCGTAATTTTACTGATGTTATACTGATATTTATCAGTTAACTGCGCAAATTCATACCTATGAAATAATTGCGTCAGTTCGATGACTTTTTAACAATTATAAATATCAACAATGACTGGCAAATGTTAGCTTTAAGTTATCTATAACTTATCTACAGCTGTATAAAATTATAAATAATCAGGCAGGTAATCATTGTTGTTTCCCAGAAAAGTTATTGGTGGTTTATACGGAGCAACGTTTCTTGACGAAAGTCGTCACTTTGATGAAGAATTCAAGACGATAACAGCACAACAAGCAAAAACACAAAACAATCATCATGGGTAGCACTTCGTCCAAGTTTAAAAAATACTTGCAGCACGGGGACGAGTTTGCCGCCATGCAAATTTATCAGAGTTCTCCCGAGTTACGCAAGAACCTGGACCCAAATCTGAGTTACGGAGAGAATCACAACCACAATACTGCCCTTCACTATGCTGCCAAACACGGTAAGCAAAATTTTTACCGAATCCTCAGACAGGAACCGCCTGATTAATTCACTTTTTTATCAAAATTGTTTATTTGTACCCAATTAAGTAACGGCAAAACTTCAAGGGGTTAATTGTAATAATATTTCGTCTTTTGATAGTTTTTGGATAGTCGGTAAATGTTTTTTGACAATAAAATGTGTAACATTACTTAATCTACCATCAGCTAGAAAACATCCATCCAATCGTTTTCTGAACGAACCCTTTCAAAAACAGAAGAATCGTTTCTTATTGAATTACTTACACCTTGCAATTATCTGATTTCCCGAATCTTCCACATTCCACTGTAAACTATTGACTTATATGACCCAATAGATAATAATAATCAAACGGATTTAGTCGAGGCATCGGACAAACCATAGGTGAGCTTTATTTCGACAACTTCAAGTTCAAAAACTCAAGAATAGCTGCACTAAAACATGCACATCTTGCATTGCTTTCTTCTTATTGACTCAAAGACTTACCCCGATAAAGAACATAAACAAAATGTAGAATCGTCGTGGTGGTTAAGGAAAAAAAGCTCCTTTTTGGCCTTACATTCAGGTACTTATTTTTGATTATTTATTAAAAAGCAACTCTTTCAGGGATGAAGCACTTGCTAAGAACGTTCTTGAATGATTTGGGAGGTAATCCGAATAAGAAAAACGGCCTGAACGAGACTGTTTTACACTGTGCTTGTCAGCTTAACCAGACAAAAAGCTTTAGTGCACAAGAACGACGGGCCGCCTGTGTTCAACTCTTACTTTATTGGAAGGGTGTGCCTCTCAAGGAAGGCGGAAGAGAAAAAGTAGATTTGTCAGCTCAAGATAAGGTAAAGAATCTATATAAATTTGGTAGGATTTTTTTCGACCTAAATTCATCCATTAAGTGATAATCAGAGAAAAGACAGAAATACGACAATGCCACTAAAAGGTCTATTAAAGATGAAAAAAAAATTAACATCAGTATATCTAAAGAAAATAATTCGAAGTGGTCTGTATTCTGTCGAAACTGCCAGACGCGGATCGCGATTTCGATCTTTTTGGATCTCATCAGNAAAAGATTAGTATGCTTAGATTTGCAGATGATATAGCAGTGTTAGTATCTAGTAAGGAGTTAGAGATAGCATTAAATAAAATGGAAGAGGTATTACAAAACAGTATTGTATGAATGTAAATAAAAGAAAAATACTGGTATACAAGGAAAGAAGAAATAGGGAAAGAGTGAATATAAAGATAGGAGGTAGAAAATTAGAAGAAGTGACTGATTTTCGGTATCCAGAAAGTCGGATAGCTCAGGCTGAAAGGGACATTACGAATATAAAACAGGAAGCGAAGCGTTAACTTAACTAAAAGATGCATGTCTCAAACATAGAGCTGTACGGGTGCGAAACGTTGGGCGCGAAGGAAAGAAAGAAAAGGTTTGAAGCGTTAGAAATGTGGTGTTACAGGCGATTGATAAGGATACCCTGAATAAAAAATAAGAGAACAGAGGACTCTACGAAAGTAAATAAGAAATAGTCGAGATAGGTTAGTAGGACGCCTTCTCAGTCATGAAGGGCTAATTAGAAACATATTAGAAGAAGAAACAGGAGTTAAGAGAAGTAGAGGTAGACCTAGATTAGATTACTGTTCACAAATAGTTAAAAATGTAAAATGTTCTAGTTTTAAGGAAATGCGAAGATTAGCTGAGGAAAGACTAGAGGGTGGATCTCCAATAATTTTTAAGACTGACGACCTTACGATGAAGATGAAGAAAAAAATAAATATAACTTTCGTCACTCCTAACAAACATTAGTATCAAACGTTTTATTCAAATTGTGTTACAAAGCCTGTAATTTGTCATAATTACTAACCACTTTATGATTTTATTTAACAACTACCCACCGTGTTTACAGTCACTATGTATCTGAAACGTTACGCAGTAGTTAGACCACAAGAAAAAACTTTTTTACCAAATGTTTCAATGGTTTCATGCATAGTCAAACTCCAGGAATAATAAACCAAATAAAGCACTATAAAGCGCCTAAAAATAACGTGTTCGAAATAGCCGCAAATATCGCTTGGCGCCGTTGCGCATGGTCGCCATAATCGATCCCGTATCCCGTCGGAAACTCCTACAGGAATAGCAGAAAACAAATGTCAACTTGTTCAAGCTGAAATGCATAACCAAAGTGACTCACAAAATGACTCCTGTTGTTGATAATTTTACCTTATATGTGGTAAGAATTAAATTATTTATATCAAGTATATTATGAACTTTGCACCGGAGCTTTGTTGCATGCTTTGTATCAAGCTTTTTAACACTAGTTTGATGTTGTCACACACAATATGTTTACAGGAAAATTAGCAACGTATTATGCATTTTTATTATATTTTGCATGCCCCCCAAGTAATGTTATAGATAATAAATACAATAACACTTGACAAAAGCGTTACCATTAAACTTTACTGTAGTCAACGATTAATCTTATTGAAAACATAACTAACTTGTTGTATTGTTGGTTCGCTTTAATGTCATTTGATCGATTAATAATAACACCCATTAACATTTTATTGCTTTACATCTTGCAAAATGTTTATTTTTACTTTGAAAGAAATTTTACAAAAAAATGTTAATTTCTTTTTCGTACTATCAAACTTATTTATATTAAATCTTCACATCCTGGAGCTAATTGATAATTAAAACGATGAAATAAAATGAAGGAAAGGTTTCATGAAGCTACTTTTGATACCCAGTATGCCATTGTTTAATAAGAAACTTAAAAATCTGTAATTTTGGCATATTCGAGGTGGAAAAAAACAATTGGAAAGAGGTAGACTGATCTAAATGTCTATATTCGAGTGTGTAGTTGGTTGCGTATATATACATATATTAAAGTACAATTGAAAATGTTAAAGGGTTACAGTGGGAATCGTTTCTATCAACAAAGGCACTGTTCAATCTACAAATAAATTGAGAAAAGTCACTGAACTCTTCGTCCTGCATTTTTAGGCTTAATTGCCTTAAATTTGTTCAATAATGCAGCTACAGATGCATGAAAAAGGGTCACTACCGGTTTTATAAGCAAGTTCATGTTTCTTCCTTCATTTCCTTGTTAAAACGAGCCTTAGCTCAGATTAGTTGTAGATATAAATGACAATTTAGTTGAACCTGTCTTGAAATGTAGGACATAGATCTTAATGTACGCATATTTAAAGTTGTTCAAAAATAGAACTCGCTAATTTTATGAACTTCTGTTCCTATATACCTAAATGAGAAATTGGCTATTATTATTTCTTGAAACAAACAATCTAAAAGAAATTACAGTTTAATTCCTGATAAATCACCTTTTATCTACCGTGATGATACCAGCGCTACTTTTATTTTATTCAAGTCAAAATTAAAGCTGCTCAAATTCGGTGGTTTTATGTATAGAACAATTTTTGTCGTTTAATTTTATAAAGGGGCACACGAATTTTTATGACGGTGTGTCAAGGTTCGACACAGAATTTTCAAATTTAATTTATACATCGAAGACGCGATCAACATCATTAAAGACAGTACAACTGTAGGGATAGATATACAGGGGGGAAAGATTAGTATGCTTAGATTAGCATCTAGCAAGGAGGAATTAGAGATAGTTTTAAGTAAAATGGAAGCGGTACTGACAGATCAGTACTGTATGAAAATAAATAAAAGTTAAACTAAAATACTAGTAGTCGTGTCGTCTTTAATAAAAAGAAGTCACTTCTATGCTAGAGAACGGTTTATTTAGAAATTCGAAAAAGGTTGTTAAAGGTGTATGTTTGGAGCGCGGCGTTGTACGGGTGCGAAACGTGGATAGTGGGCGCGGGGGAATAGAAAAGGTTAGAAGCTTTCGAAATGTGGTGTTATAGGCGAATGATGAGGATATCGTGGGTAGAAAAGGTTAAAAATGAAGAGGTATTAGAAAGACTAGGAGAACAGAGGACTCTAAGGAAATCAATAAAAAATAGGCGAGATAGGTTGGTAGGACACCTTCTCAGGTATGAAGGTCTAGTCAGAGACATGTTAGAGGCAGAAACAGGAGTTAGGAGGGGTAGAGGTAGACCTAGATTAGATTACTGTTCGCAAATAGTTAAGGATGTGGGCTGTTCTAGTTTTAGGGAAATGCGA